GTTAACTCTGTTTTCTCTTTCACAGATGCTGCCAAACCTGCTGAGCTTTTCCAGCAACTTTGTTTTTGTTCATTGTTCAGCTACAGTACATTCACTTCCTTCCTCCAAGTCATTAATACATGTAAACAGTTGCCGTCCCAGCACTGATCCCTATGGAACCCCACTGGTCGCTAGTCTCCAACCTGAAAAAGCACCCCTTGTCCCCACTCACTATTTCCTGCCCATGAACCAATTCATTATCTGTGCCAATAAACTACCTCCAACACTGAGGCCTCTTAGCTATATCACTTAACCTTTTGTGGTACCTTGTCGAACACCTTCCGGAAGTCCAAATACAACACATCAACAGGTTCCCTCCTCGCCACTCTGGTTGAGACTTTCTCAAAAACTGTAACAAATTAGTTAGACACAATTTCTCCTTGAAATGCTTATGATTTTGATGATTTATGATTATGATATTTTCCCAAGTCAGGATGGTGAATGGCTTGGAGGAGAATTTGCAGGTGGTGCTGTTACATCTTGTTGCATCTTGTCCATTTAGATTGTAATGGTCATGGGTTTGGAAGGTGCCTTCTGAGGAGCCTTGGTAAATGTCTGCAGTGCATCTTGCAGATGGTATACACTGGTGTTACTGAGCTTTAGGGGGAGTAAATATTTGTGGTATGTGGAGCCGATCAAGCGGGCTGCTTTGTCCAGGATGGTGTCAAGCTTCTTGAGTGTTGTTGGAGCTGCCCTCATCCAGGCACGTGGGGAGTATTTCAACACGCTCCTGATTGTGCCTTGTAGATGGTGGACAGGCTTTGGGGAGTCAGAAGATGAGTTACTTGCCACAGTATTCCTAGCTTCTGGCCTGCTCTTGCAGCCACTGTGACATGTGGTGAGTCCATTTGAGTTTTTGGTCAATGGTAACCCCCAGGATGTTGATAATGGGGGATTCAATGACAGTAACACCATTAAATGTCAAGAGGCAGTTGTTAGACTGTCTCTTATTGGAGCTGGTCATTGCCTGATGGTGCAAGTGGAAATCTGGATATTGCTCAGGTCTTGTCACATTAGGACGTAGATTACTTCAGTAATCTGAGAAGTCAAGAATGCTACTGAACATTGTGCAATCATCAACAAACATTCCCTTTCTCACCCCATGATAGAGGGAAGATCATTAATGAAGCAGTGGAAGATGGTTGGTCTGGGGAAGCTATCATGAAGAAATCCTGCAGAGATGCCCTGGAGCTGAGCTGACTGGCTCCAACAACCAAAACCATCTTCCTTTGTATCAGATATGACTCTAACCAGTGGAGAGGCTACCTCCAGTTACCACTGACTTCAGCTTTGCTTGGAATCCTTGATGCCACACTAAGTCGATTGCGGCCTTTGTGCCAAGGGCAGTAACTCTTGCTTCACCTCTGGAATTCAAGCCTTTTTCCATGTTCGAAAGATTGAAGTGAGGTCAGGAGCTAAGTAGCCCTGGCAGAAGCCAAACTAGGTAGATTATTGCAGAACAAGTGCTGCTTGATCATAAAGTTGTTGACACCTTCCTTCATTTTACTGATGATTGAGAATTGATTGATGGAGTAGTAATTGGCTGGGTTGGATTTGTCTTGCTTTTTGTGGAGTAGAGGGTGTCCTGTTAGATAGTGGAGGAATGTTCTGCATCTGACATGAGGAGCATTGGCGTCAAGTCAAAGTAGGGATATCAGATCAGATTGAATCAAGGGAAGATGTGTTCGTCAGGTGAGGGAAGGAAGGTAGAGTGTTGCTTTCAAGAGTTTTAGGTATTAGTGGTGGTTGTTGTGGACAGCCATTCATGAGCCAGAGATTCAGTTTAATGGTTACCGAGAAACAGAGTAGCTGTTAATCCTCTAACATTTCCTGGGTAACTAGTAAGTTTACGTGAGTCAACCCTTTAAATTGTCTAACTTAGGGAGTTTTTGGAGGGCTCCAGATGCAGAGGAATTGCCAATCAGAATTTGAAATTTTTTGCAGAGTTTCCTCAAATTTATCTTTGTCTTTGAAAGACATGCCCTTCAAGAGCAATTAGGAATAGGTTATAAATGCTGGTTTTGCCAGTAATGCATACATCCCATGGAAAAAATACAGTAAAAACAAATGCTTATACCAGTTCTTGCTCTGCTTCTTTTGTTTGGTGATACTCTTAATTCAAGTCAATTGTCAACTGTGTAGGACAAGAAACTAATTGTGGAATTTCATCATACAGACCTTGAACACATTTATACTAAATTAATTTGTCATTATTTTAATGAGGGTTTTAACAAAATGTTTTTGTTTTAAAATTAGTTCACCCCCTCGCTAAGATAGAAGTTTGAAAGAGCCTAATAATGTGTTTGCATGAAAACATTGCACAGCAGAGTTTCAAAATTCCCGTTAAGTGTCAAGGAATAGCAACTTATTTTCTTTTAACTGAGAGCAGCGTTACATTTTTTCGCTGCTAGTTCAGCATAGACAATAACTGGATGCTGCTGAACAGCAATATCAATACTTATCTCTAAATCTTCACACTCAAACTGATGCATCATCATATCTTCCTTCCTGTAAAAAAACACACATTTTCAGCTGCTACAGATAGATGATTCATTTTCTTATTTAATGATTTTAAGATTTTAATTGGTAAATAAGAAAGCCAAAGGATCTTGAGACTCAGATAAACAGATTGTCAAGAGTGGCATTAGGTCATAGAAAAGATAAAAAAGATATTTTGGTTTTGTACCTTAAGGCATGGAAATCAAAACAAGGAAGATAATATCACCATCCCCCCAGACCTACCCCTTACTGAGGACGAACGGTCAGTCCTCAGTAAAGGGCTCACCTTTGTCCCCCTCCACCCACAGATCAACGAATACCGCTCACGCTTGGACATAGAGCAGTTTTTCCGCCGCCTCCGCCTCCACGCTTACTTCTTCAACCGTGAACCTAACCCTCCCTCTACTGACCCCTTCTCCCGCTTCCAACACACCCCCTCCTCCTGGACACCACCCCAAGGCCTCCTACCCTCCCTCGACCTCTTCATCTCCAACTGCCGTCGAGACATCAATCGCCTCAACCTCTCCACCCCTCTCACCCACTCCAACCTCTCCCCCGCAGAACGTGCAGCCCTCCGCTCCCTCCGCTCCAATCCCAACCTCACCATAAAACCCGCGGACAAGGGAGGTGCAGTTGTAGTATGGCGCACTGACCTCTACATCGCCGAGGCCGGACGCCAACTCTCCGACACCTCCTCCTACCGCCCCCTTGATCATGACCCCACCCCTGAGCACCAAACCATCATCTCGCAAACCATCCACAACCTCATCACCTCCGGTGACCTCCCACCCACGGCCTCCAACCTCATCGTTCCCCAACCTCGCACTGCCCGCTTCTATCTCCTTCCCAAAATCCACAAACCTGAATGCCCCGGTCGACCCATTGTCTCCGCCTGCTCCTGCCCCACCGAACTGATCTCCAACTATCTCGACTCCATTTTCTCCCCCTTGGTCCAGGAACTCCCTACCTATGTCCGTGACACCACCCACGCCCTCCACCTCCTCCAGAACTTCCAATTCCCCGGTCCCCAACACCTCATCTTTACCATGGACGTCCAGTCCCTCTACACCTGCATTCCCCATGCAGATGGCCTTAAGGCCCTCCGCTTCTTCTTGTCCCGCAGGCCCGACCAGTCCCCCTCCACTGACACCCTCATCCGCTTAGCCGAACTCGTCCTCACACTCAACAACTTCTCTTTCAATTCCTCCCACTTCCTACAGACAAAGGGGGTAGCCATGGGTACCCGCATGGGCCCAAGCTACGCCTGCCTCTTTGTAGGTTACGTGGAACAATCCCTCTTCCGTACCTACACCGGCCCTAAACCCCACCTCTTCCTCCGTTACATTGATGACTGTATCGGCGCCGCCTCGTGCTCCCACGAGGAGCTCGAACAGTTCATACACTTCACTAACACCTTCCACCCCAACCTTAAGTTTACCTGGACCATCTCTAACACCTCTCTCCCCTTCCTGGACCTCTCTGTCTCCATATCGGGCAACCACCTAGAAACCGATATTCATTTCAAGCCCACCGACTCCCACAGCTACCTAGAATACTCCTCCTCCCACCCACCTTCCTGCAAAAATGCTATCCCCTATTCCCAATTCCTTCGCCTCCGCCGCATCTGCTCCCAGGATGAGGCATTCCACTCCCGTACATCTCAGTTGTCCTCGTTTTTCAAGGACCGTAACTTCCCCTCCTCGGTGGTCGAGAACGCCCTCAACCGTGTCTCCCACATCTCCCGCACCTCATCCCTCACACCCCGTCCACGCAATAAAAACCAAAAAAGAATCCCCCTCGTCCTCACGTACCACCCCACCAACCTCCGGATCCAACGCATCATCCTCCGACACTTCCGCCATCTGCAATCCGACCCCACCACCAAAGACATCTTTCCCTCCCCACCTTTATCTGCTTTCCGGAGGGACAACTCTCTCCGTGACTCCCTTGTCCGCTCCACACTCCCCTCCAGCTCCACCACACCCGGCACTTTTCCCTGCAACCGCAGGAAGTGCTACACCTGCCCCCATACCTCCTCCCTCACCCCCATCCCAGGCCCCAAGAAGACTTTCCACATCAAGCAGATGTTCACCTGCACATCTGCCAATGTGGTATACTGCATCCGCTGTACCCGGTGTGGCTTCCTCTACATCGGGGAAACCAAGCGGAGGCTCGGGGACCGCTTTGCAGAACACCTACGCTCGGTTCGCAATAAACAACTGCACCTCCCAGTCGCGAACCATTTCAACTCCCCCTCCCATTCCTCAGACGACATGTCCATCCTGGGCCTCCTGCAGTGCCACAACGATGCCACCCGAAGGTTGCAGGAACAGCAACTCATATTCCGCTTGGGAACCCTGCAGCCCAATGGTATCAATGTGGATTTCACAAGTTTCAAAATCTCCCCTCCCCCCACCGCATCCCAAAACCAGTCCAGCTCGTCCCTGCCTCCCTAACCTGTTCTTCCTCCCACCTATCCCCTCCTCCCACCTCAAGCCGCACCTCCATCTCCTACCGACCAACCTCATCCCGCCCCCTTGACCTGTCCGTCCTCCCTGGACTGACCTATCCCCTTCCTAACTCCCTACCTACACTCACCTTTCCTGGCCCCATCCCCGCCTCTTCGACCTGTTTGTTTCCTCTCCACCTATCCTCTCCTCTATCCCTCTTCTATCCGCCTCCCACTCTCTCCCTATTTATTTCAAAACCCCCTTCCCCTCCCCCTTTTCTGATGAAGGGTCGAGGCCCGAAACGTCAGCCTCTCTGCTCCTATGATGCTGCTTGGCCTGCTGTGTTCATCCAGCCCTGCACCTTGTTGTCTAAGATAATATTAAACATGTGCAATAGTTTTGTTAGCTACAGTCAGCACATTATGTTTTTTGACAACTTAAAACAAGGTAGGAAAATAGAATAGTGAAGTTTCACAAAGATGTGTTCAGGAAGTGGACAATACAGTTATAAGAGACATTGGAGAAGTGGGAGCTTATTCATTCAGTGACATGATAAAAGTCTTCATAATTTTGAACAATTATTAGAAGGTGAGAACCGAAAGAACTACGGATGCTGTAAATCAGGAACAAAAACAAAGTTGCTGGAAAAGCCCAGCAGGTCTGGCAGCATCTGTGAAGGACAAAACAGAGTTAACGTTTCGGGTCTGGTGGCCCTTCCTCAGAACTGAAGTTCTGGCTGTCAACCCTTTCTATGCATCTCATAATTTTATAGACTTCTATCAGGTTTCCCCTCAGCCTCCACTGCTCCAGAGAAAACAACCCTAGTTGTTCTAGCCTCTCCTTGTAGCTATGATATCTATATGTGAGAAATTCATTAATTCTTGAAATTAATGATCCATTCACTACTACATGTAGAAACTTTAGTTTTGAAGCCAGCCTTTCTGGAACATATCAATCAGATCCTCAAGAATTTTATTAAATATCTTTTTGTGTGCTTGTCTGGAACTCTGTCGGATAGTAACGATAATGGGCTGTATTATCTGTTTGGTTCATTCTTCAGTGTGAATTCAGGAATACATTTCTCAGTTGTTTCACTGATTATTTATGCCTTTATAGTGCAATTTACCTCCCTTTACTCCACTGGTTGCACTTTAATATGGTATGAGAACATGTGGAAAGTGAAGTGAGTTGTAAAAACAAAAGTAAATCACTTACTGAATTTTATGTGCTTCCTTATCTTCAAATGTACCAGTCCAGGGGCACAAAAACCAGCCTTAGTCTTCTGGAAAATGAAGTGAACCATAAAAACAAAAGTAACTTCATTTTCCAGGTACCTAAGGCTAGATCTTAGGCTTGCGGCGTGGTGCAATTGAAGGCAGGAAAGCATGCAAATTTCAGTGGGTGAGTTACCCTCCATCGACCAACCTGACCCTGACGTTGGCCCATCTGAAATGTTATGGGGGCGAGGGTCATGGCTCATCCACAAATTGGCCCTTTAAGGGCCTCATCCTATTTCTGACGGTACTTTACCCACACCAGGAGAGAATTCACACAATATGGGAAGCCCAGCAGGAAGTTGTGTGGTTTGAGTTGGGAGAAATGAGATGGGTGTACCTCCTTTTGGAATTTCCTGAGGCTATTTCAGAAACGGGTCCCTCACCAAGGTCATCCTTCAGTCTAACCCTGGCACAAGTTCCACTCTGTTCTTCTCACTGAGATCCCTGACCCTTGGCAAACCCAGGCAACCCACCATGTTGTCTCAGCATGGCCATCATTTCCAGTGGTGCTTTATTTTTTGTTCATTCACGCGGTGAAGACGTCACTGTCTAAGGTAGCAGATATTGCCCAGAGGGCAGTGAAGAGTCAACCACATTGCTGTGGATCTGGAGTCACATGTAGGTCAGACCAGGTAAGGATAGCAGTTTCCTTCCCTAAAAGGCATTAGTGAACCAGAAGGGTATTTTTTCTGACAATCGACAGTGGATTCATGGTCATTATTAGATGACTGTTAATTCCAGATACTTATTGAAATCAAATTTTATCATCTGTCATAGCAGGATTTGAACCTGGGACCCCAGAACATTATCTGGGTCTCTGGATTAACAGTCCAGCGATAATACCACTAGGCCATTGCCTCCTCTAAAGTGGAGGTAAAGTGTGATATGACAATACTGGCATCTGTTAGATTTGTGTATAATGCTGCTTCATGTCTCTGCACATCAACAACAAGTGATTCAAGTCTTCAGGTGATAATTTTAAATATTTATGGGATCTTGAGTGATTCACAAGTAAAGCTTTATAAAGCTTTTGGAGACTTTTTTGCTTGCAGTAGCCTGTGAGTGTTTTGACCTTAAAGATTTCAAAGTGCTTATTGATGCTATTGTAAATTCTGAACTATTCAGAAAATTATGGTATCTGAGATTGGAAGAAGGAAAACAAAAGGAAGTTTCAAACAATTATTCTCGTGGTTTCAAGCATTTTCTACACTGTAACATTATGTTCTTCTCTCGGCAATGTTGTCATTTATTGATTTAACATTCTCAATGTACTCATATTATGCAATGCTTTGGGAAATAATTTTGGATCAAAGTAGTTCTAAAGATTATTGTTATGAATTGTTGGGCTATGAGCATTGCTGTCATGCATTGCCTACACCTGGATGGCATCCATCTCCTTCTTGAGGTTTAAGGAGGGATTTCAAGCACTTAGAATCTGATAACATAGCCTCTTATGTTGGAGTGAGTGAAATTTTGATGGGGCTCACAAGTTTGGGGATGCGATATCTCACAGAACTGTGGGAGTTACAGAGATGGGGAATAATGAAATTATGGAAAAGGGTTGCAAATTTGAAAATTGAGATGTTGCTTAACTGGGAGCTAGTGTAAATCGGTGAGCACAAGGCTAATGAGAAAATTATATTTAGTCTGAATGAGTTAATAGGCAACAGAATTTTGAACTACCTCAAGTTTTTGATGGGCAGAGGAGGCTAGTCAAGGCTTTTCAATCATTAAATTTCAAAGTAGCAAATGAATTGGTGAAGGTTTCATTTATAATGAGTTGAGAAATTGGGGAAAGTTTATGGCGGTGGAAATATTAGTGATTAGTGATTGCTTTGGTTCATGCTTAGAAGCTCACCTGTTAGGTCTAAATATGAGACCAAGTTTGTAAACAGCCTGGTTCAGCCTCAGTCAATCAAGAGGAGGGATAAAACATTTAAGAAATTGTCAGAAGACTGTTTTTTTTAAGAAAAATGGATGGTCAGGAATTGCTGTAAAGGGACAGAGAGGTTTTGATAGGCAGTTTTAAGGAGGAGGCTCAAGGCAGTTCTAGGCTTTGTAAAGAGGCAGTAAAGACATAAGAAGAAAAGAAAAGCATATAAGGATATGGAGGAGATTGTGAAGGTAGTGTGACAATTCAGTCACGTGAAGCAATTTTAAAATACTGGCAAGGAAATTAATTTCATATCAAAGAATCATAGAATCCTTACAGTGTGGAAGCTGGCCATTCAGCCCACCGAGTCCACATTGACCCTCTGTAGATCATCCCACCTGGACCCACCCCTTATCCTGTCTGTATAACCCTACATTCCCCATGGCAAATCCACCTAACTCACACATGCTTGGATGATTTAGCACTGCCAATCCACATAACCTGCACATCTGTGGACTGTGGGAGGAAATCAGAGCACCCAGAAGAAACCCATGTAGACACGCTCATATATATAGAATACACAAATATATATATATATATATATATGATTTAGATAAGGAAACTAAGTGCAATATCTCTAAATTTGCAGATGACACAAAGTTGGGTAGGAGGATGAGCTGTGAGGAGGATGCAGAGATATTTCAGTGCAGTTTGGACGGGCTGAGTGAGTGGGCAAATGTATGACAGATGCAGTATAATGTGAATAAATGGGAGGTTATCTACTTTGGTAGCAAAACAGGAAGACAGGAATGGCTATAAATTGAGAGACCTACTCTCCCCAGGTCGTGTTTGCAGACTTCTGGTTTCACACTCCTGGGATGTCAAGGTTAAACTTGAGTAAAGGAGGCTGATGATTGAAATAGCTTTATGGAGCACACATTCTCAAATCCTGACCTGACTTCATTCCCACTTACACAAAATGGAAAGTACAAAATGGGCAGGGCTTAAGATTTCCAGGCTCATGTGTCATTTTAACAGCCAAAAAGGCTGTTCATCCATGGCAAAAATCCAGGCCAAGCTTTCCAAGAGAAGACCCTGGCTATCCAAGTGAATCTACAAAATCTAAACCCACTGCTACCAAGTCGAATTTATGCACAGCACATTTCATACTCCAGGGTCTGCAAAATCTGACCTAACTGGAGGCAGCTGCTGATTCCCATGGGCAATTGTCTCTGTGAAATGTGCAAATGTGAAATTTTCTTTTTGTACCCTAGACTCCTGCAGTTTAATTCTTTGATCTCCTCTGATGCTGTTCCAACATGGCATACACTTCTCTCCAATTATACATAGTTTACATAGTACAATTAATCAATGACAGCATCTGATACCTCTCTCTCATTTGTTTAATATTCATTTCTCTAAGGGGAGGTGGTAATATATTGGTAATGTCATAGCACTCATAATCCAGAGCTAATGTGCTGAAGAAAATCCAGTCACAGAAGATAGTGACATTTGAATTTAATAAAAATTTGGAATTTAAAAAAAAAGGCTTTGATTAATCGTGACCAGGTAACCATTGTCAATTGTTAGAAAAACCCGTCTGGTTCACTCTTGTTCATTAGGGAAGAAATCTTGCATCCTTCTCTGTATTGGCCCATGTGCAACACCAGGCCTAATGTGGTTGTCTCTGAACTGCCCTCTGGGCAATTAGAGATAAGCAACAAATTTTGGCCTAACCAGAATTTTCACTGTACTTTTTGTTTCTTTACT